GCATAAAGATCTGACTCTTAATCTTGCAAATATAGGTACTTTCTGCCAGGCATCCAGGTTTGGCCTAGCTTTGTGCAAGTATGCATGTGCGTGTGCAAAGCAGATGGAAGGGAGAAAGAGTTGTACATCTCTTCCATTGCCCATATAATGAACATGAACTTCAGTCCGTTCACAGAGGGGAATGAAGCAACTGTTTCCTCCCTGTTCCCCTGGGGGGAACAAAATGTCCAGAGCGAGATGGGTAAAGGCAGGCAGATGCAAGTCCACAGCTCTATCCCTTCTCTTGCCTACAAACTTTCCAGAGCTTGCTGAATATGCAGTGCTCAGGGAGGCAGCTGGTCTCTCTTCAGCAGGTTACTACATAGTGCTCCCCTTGCAGAATTGGAGTTGTACACTGCCCCTTGCTATAAGCTATGCCAAAATGATCCCATCTAGTCCAGGAATGGTCTTAAGGTTCCTTAAGATTCCCCACCCTAAGTCCCCATCATGCGGCTAAGCTGGTATTACGCTGTGTTGCCATGCACTGCTTTGGACTCCCATGCACCACTTCAGGCCACATGGGAGCAGATGGAGGAACTGGCGTAGCTCCTGCCCAACTCAGCCACAAACCAGGGACTTAGGGTCCAGCAGAAGCCACTCCAAGGTCAGGCAAGAGGCACGCCAGCCTCTCCAGCTGCACCGATGTGGTGAGGCCCAAAGCAGTGTGTGGGAATACAGAGAGGCACGGTGTTAGCAGTGCTGCACCCCTACCCAGCCCTGGCCACCAGAGCCCAAATAACCTGTGGCTGCAGTGTAGATGTCCTGTATGGATCTGTTAGACAGCATCTACCCCTCATTGTCACTAAGGGTTCCCACAAAAGTCCTCTGGGGAGAAATTGGTTCTCACCATTGTGAATCAGCATTCAAAGCGTACACAGTCTCTGCACAGAAAGTCTGGCAAGGCTTGCAAGGGAGTTTCCCCAGGTATTCTCTGAGGAATTAGGAACGTCCTCAGGTCCACCTCTGACGTTCCGAATGGATCCTGCAATAGCCCCTATCTTTATAAAGGCTCAGAATGGACCTTTCGCACTATGGCTGAAAACTGATGCAGATTAGATCGGCTTATTGAGCAAGGGGTACTCGAGCCAATCGTACATACAAGCTGGGCCACACCAATTGTTCCTGTTTTAAAACCTAATGGGAGTGTTTGCATCTGTGGGGATTACAAGTGCACTGTTAATAAAGCACTTAAGCAGGACCTGCACCTAGTGCCTGCCCTTAACCAGTTACTGTTTTTTCTGGCAGGAGGGAAGGTTTTTGACCTCACTCAAGCCTATCAGCAATTGATAGTGGACAACAAGGCTGCTGAGGCCCAAACAATTACACACTGGGGAACGTTCCATGTCAAGCGCCTCCAGTTTGGAATTTCTGTGGCACCAGAGATTTTCCACTGGTTCATGGAAAAAATGCTAGCAGGAATTCCTGGGGTTGTTGTTACTTTAGAGCAATGACTTCAACAGAGAGGAACTACGCAAAGATTGATAAACAAGCATTGGCGAACATTGCAGGAGTTAAAAAATTTCACAATTACATTTATGGCTGCAAATTTGGAATCCGAATAGACCACAAACCCCTTCTTGGAATTTTTACTATGGAGAAACCAGCTCCTCCTATTTTGTCTCCCCGTATGCAACGCTGGAGCATCATGCTAAATGCATACGGCCATATGCTCATGTACAAACCTGGGAAAACAACTGCAAATGCTCATGCATTGAGCCGCCTACCATTACAAATACCTGATTGTGCTACTCCTCTGCCAACAGAAGTCCTCGTGCTGGAATCCATGCCAGAAGCCCCACTTCAGGCTGATTAGATAGCAAGGATGACTGCAAAAGACCCGATCCTTGCCCATGTCCTCAACTGGGTGTGGAGGGGCTGGCCTGCAGACAAACTGGCTGCCCACAAGGGTTGCCTCTTGTGGGGAAATTGTGTTGTAATCCCAGAAGCAGGATGCTAAATCATACTGACAACACTGCACGCAGCACACCCAGGCACTGTGAGGATGAACGTGTTGGCTGGAAGTTATGCATGGTGGCCAGGTATGGACAATGACATAGAAAAGGTTGTGAGGGAGTGCAGCATTTGTCAAGCAACCTGTCATAATCCACAGAAGATACCAGTATTCCCTTGGGAAATGACAAAGAAACCCTGGTGTCACATCCATATTGATTTTGCTGGCCCTTTTCAAGTTAAGAATTTCTTAATTGTTGTTGACTTATATTCAAAATGGCTTGAAGTGATTACCATCTCAACTCTCACATCAACTGCCACTATAACAGCTTTCCGTCAGCTGTTTGCAACCCATGGGGTGCCCAACACTATCATTTCTGATAATGGCAGTCTATTCACTTCAGCAGAGTTCCAAGATTTTGCCAGCCACAACTTCATTCGAACTGTTACCATTGCACCTTGCAGGCTACAGGCCAATGGGCAAGCTGAGCGAATGGTGCAGACTACAAAAGATGCACTGAAAAGGATCGTTGTAGGAGACTGGCCTACCAGACTGGCCAGATTTCTGTTTGCTCAACATGTAATTCCTTGCCCTACAACAGGGTCCAGCCCATCAGAGCTTCTTATGGGTCGTTGTCTCAAAACATGCCTTGACCATGTTAACCCTGACCTTGCGAGACATGCAGTTTAGGAAAGAAAAGGAGTTGGACTCTGCATTGGCATCTGGTACCTTAAGTCTTTTCGTTTCACAAGAGACTGTGTGTGCTTGGAACTACAGGACAGGCCTACAGTGGGTTTAGTCTAAAACTGTAAGCGCCACAGGACTTGTATCATACAGAGTCTGGACTGATGACAGACAAGTTTGGAAACGTCATGTGTACCAACTGCGTGGGCGTTCTTCTACTGATAGCCCTTCACCTGAGCAATCTCCAAGCACCAGTCCACCACTGACAGACAGGGATTCATTGGGGAAGTGCCTACCCATTTCCACCCATGCAAACCCTTTGCCATTAGCATCAGAAGGAAGCATTGCTGTTGAGTCTCCAGATATGACCGGGCATGACCAGGTGCAGCTGGGCCCTTTCAGCCTATGCTGAACCCATCACTGAGTCCAGTTCTAAGGGAAGACCGCAGTGGAAGCAGAGTCCTCCCAAATGGTTAGCTGACTATTCTGTCTAGGGGAAAGGGGTCCTGTGTCTTATTGTGTTTTCCTAGCACTGTCCCTTTAAGGCCAAAGCCCTCATGTTCAGCACTGAAGGGTTCAGTTGCTTGTGGCAGTTCTGCAGCACTGGGGACTCCATGTGCTCTGCCATGAGGAGCCAAGGGCTTTCTCGGCTCCTCTCCCTCCACAGAACTGGACTGGGTCAAGTCAGAGGCAGAGCAAGTATAAGTTCTGCATACATGTACTGAGGGAAATTATTAATATCCACCCTGGATATGATTCCAAAGAGTTATAATAATAAATGCTAATTCAACATAGGAGTGCCCAGAGTGTTGCTGCTGAACTCACAACATATCAGGTGGTGAGACAGGTCACGCCACATGCATGGACATGCAGAGCACCTCCAGAAGGTAAGTACGGGATAGGGGGACTGAGGCCCCTGTAGGGAGGAAGGGAGGGAGCTGGGCTGGGCTGGGGCTGCTACCCAGCCGGGTGGGGCTTGGGGCCCGGGGCTCAATGCGCAGCTGCAGGGCCCCAGCAGAGAGCAGGACTGGGCCGTGGGTGGCTTGTCCAGGGGAGGGGGAGGGCCACTCCCTGCTGCTGCGCGCACTCCCAGGGGGCAGGGGGGACTTGCGCATCCCAGATCTGTGTGCAGAGCAGGTGCAGGCTGCAGGTGTGGGCTCCAGACCTGCTTCCCTCCCCTGGGGCCTCTGCAGTCCAGCAGGCATGAGTGGGCACGGCTGGGCTGCAGAGGCCCTGAAGGAGGGAAGCAGGGCAAGAGCACACAGGGCCAAAGCTGCACTAGGCGGTGCTCTGGGTGGGCAGCAGGGGATATG